ACAGAATCACATAGCTTATGTTTAGGAAATCATGGTTTTGATTAAGAAGCAACCATTTAGTTCCCACTGTTTTATTAAAACAGACATTAGCAGATAATAGGAAACACATTTAAATACCATAGACTGCATTTAGTTTGCGACGTCAATAGTAATTTAGAAGCCCTTTTCTATTTTGCATTTACCACAGTGCATGTGATTTTTTTTTTTTTTTGCTTGTTTGGGGTTTTATGTTTTGTTTTGTTTTTTTAAAATTCTATTAACCAAATCTGGCCTTGGATATCCGTGTACTGGTCCCAATGCCTCACAGTGATATCCAAGGGCAAAATTTGACCCTAAATGCTAACTGTTGCTTATATCCAGTTTTTAAAAAAAACAAAACTTTTTACTTTTTATTAAAAGGGATGTGTGGAGATTTATATTTACAAACTCACTAATTTCACATATGAAATAAGTTCTACTGTACAAACCACTAACTGTGAAGTAGAAATGAAATCATAACAAAGAAATGGAGATGTGAAATTAAAAGCATCAAACTAAGTGCAGAAATCTTCCCTTTCAGAGGGTGCTAGAGATTATTGCAATGAAGTTACATAGCTATTTATTTTCCATACCCAACTGTACCTGTCATGGATCTTTGTTTTCCCTCCCACTCGTTTGGTTGATGAATCAACACCACTTGAACTGTTTTACAGCAGCTTGTGTTTACTTCACACATACCTTAACCTTCTCTTTTCTCCTCCTACTAACACACACATATTCTTCCAAACAACAACGACTAGCTGACTCTCTTTAAATAGTGCACATACACGGTTATCTGGCAAACTCTTCAGGTTTGGATCCTTGACCTCTTGATTGAAATCAAGGTCTCGCTCTGCTTTTACTGCACTTAACGATTTAACTGTGCACTTACTAACTAAAAAAAAGAAAGAGCTTGAAGAACTGAATGCTCTAAGAAAGGAAGAAAGTGGAAGATGCGGTGCGCTAGAAACACTTGGGAGTCTGAAGTGGCAACACTGAGAACCACTACAGTTAAGGGTTTCCAGTGCCTTTGGAGCTGGCATTACACCCTCGCCTGATGAAACAGCAAGCCCATAGCTTTTCTCCTGCAACAGCGAGTAAAAGCGATCTACTAAATGACCTTGAAGCTGTTTGATTCCTTTGATTTGTTTCAGCCAAGAGCACTTAAAAAAAAATCTTTTTACTAAGTGTCATTTAGAGAAAAGAAAACACTTCTAAGTCACACGATGGTGATTTAGAGTGAGAAGGAGCTATTCAATTCATCCTGCACAATGGTAAATATTAACGACATAGTAAATGTCTAAATCAAAATTTGCAGATGACCCCCGTGTAATTTTACAAGAGGAGATGTATATCTTAATTTTCTTATGTACTTAATTTACACTTTTACTTCAGCTATTTTAATCTCCTTCACAGACATTTTTAACCTAAAACATAATGGCTCTTGCTAGGGCAAATATAACTGCTGCACACAATTGAGCTCTGATTTTTATAGGTGTATCTTCCAGACTCCATGCACTCATGTAACCACACTACAGTTAATGGGAAATAGACACATACATCAAAGGGAAAACAGATCCCTCAGTGTTTGCCTGATATCTTATGCAAGATACAAATATTCTCAATTCTAAAAGAAGCTTCCTTATTACATTAGTATGATGGGTTTATATTTTGCCTTAAAATGAATTAATGAGCAGCCTTCCACATCCTATATGCTCTACTTTTTAAGAGAAAAAAACTGCAGACACTTTTTTAAACATTTGAGTTTCATGAATAAGTGTACATTTGGTATATTCACTTCTCAAGAAGTTATGGGCACCATAATGGAGTCCCGACCCAAGATTTGTGAATCTGACACATGCCCTTATGGCTAGTGAAAAAAAGTCTTGAGCTTCTGGTGCAAGTCATGCCTGAAATAGCCAATGCATTCCAATTCAGGGAAGGAATCTTCTCTTCCAGAGACCGACACTGAAGAAACGCTCCCTCTTTGATACATTGGTTCACGCCAACTACTGCTCGGTGTCAAACGTTCTGTTTCTGAGCAAGCTCACAGAGAATCTAGTCACAGGTCAATTACAAACATCTAATTTAAACTAATATCCTAGTCCCCAAAATCTGGATTCAGGCCAGGCCATGATCAGAAACAGCTTTAGTGCCACCGATGATCTCCTGCAATAAATGGATGGTGAGCAGACATCCATTCTCATCTTCTTTGACCCGTCTGCAACATTTGACACTGTTGACTATGAGATACTGCTGTCTCGAGGGATGGCAGAGTTTCACTGGAATGTGCTAAAATAGTTAAAGTCCTTCTTGGAGGGACATGTCCAAACCATATTGATGGGAAACTATGCCTCCACCACTAGACCTCTCATTTGTTGAGTCCCACAAGGATCAATTCTTTCTCCATTCCTTTTCAACATCTACATGCAGCCAGTAGGTGAAATGAACACATGACACAGACTTAAGTGCAAGAAATATGTAATGACATAGAGCTTTATCTTTCCTATATGAAATATGAACGTAAGAATGACCAATGCATTGGCTGTCAGACTAATGATCCATCAAGCCACATATCCTGTCTTCCGACAGTGACCAGTACCAGATGCTTCAGAGGGAATGAAGAGAACATAATCCATCGAGTGATCTATCCCCTGTCATCCACTCCCAGCTTCTTGCAGATGGAGGTTCAGGGACACACAAAGCATGGAGCTGAGTCATTGACCATCTTGGCTAATAGACATTGGACCTATCCTCCATGCACTTATCTAATTCTTTTGTGAACCCAGTTATACTTTTGGCCTTCTCAACATCCCTGGCAACAAGTTCCACAGATTGACTGTGCATTGTGTGAAGAAGTTCTTATATATGTTTGTTTTAAACCTGCTGCCTATTCATTTCACTGGGTGATCCCTAGTTCTTGTGTCTTGTGAAGGAGTAAATAACACTTCCTTATTCACTTTCTCCACACCATTCATGATTTTACACACCTCTAACATATCCCCCCTTAGTCATATCTTTTCTAAGCTGAACACTGTTTCTAACCTCTCCTCGTACAGAAATTGTTCCATACCCCTAATCATTTATGTTGTCCTCTGAACCTTTTCCAATTCTAATGGATCTTTTTTGAGGTGGCATGACCAGAAATGCATGCAGTATTCAACGTGTGGGCGTACAATGAATTTATATAGTGGCATTGTGATATTTTCTGTCTTATTACCTATCCCTTCCCAAAGGGTTCCTAACATTGTTAGCTTTTTTTGACTGCTGCTGCACATTGAGCGGATGTTTTTAGAGAACTATCCATGATGACTCTAAGGTCTCTTTCCTGCGTTGTAACAGCTCATTTAGATTCCATCATTTTGTACGTATAGTTAAGATGATTTTTTCCCAATGTGCAGTACTTTGAATTAATCAACACTGAATTTCATCTGCCATTTTGTCACCCACTCAGTTTAGTGAGATTCCTTTGTAACTCTTCGCAGTCAGTTTTGGACTTAAATGTCTTGAATAATTTTGTATTGTCTGCAAACTTTGTCACCTCACTATTCGCCCCCTTTTCCAGATCATTTATGAATATGTTGAACAGCACAATTTCCAGTACAGATCCTTGGAGGATCCCATTATTTACCTCTCTCCGTTATGAAAACTGACCATTTATTCCTACCCTTTGCTTCCTATCTTTTAACCAGCTACTGTGTTACCAGTTACTCACCCACCATCTGGACTAAAATAATGTGATATACCTGGGCAGGAAGCTATCAGTCCTTAGGAAACTCCAACTAAAACAAAACACTGCAATGCATCTTCTTAGCAACCACAAGCTACCATGAGCACATCAAACCTGACCTCTGCTCTCTCCACTGGCTTCCCAAAGAATATCAAGTCAAATTTAAGGTCTAAGATCTTATCTTCATGGTGCTCAATGGCCTGAACCCAGCATATCTAAAAGAGACTCAAGTTCTGAGATGAAGACTCTGGCCAACAACTCCACTCTTCAGGCAAAATAGAACTTTCTGCCATAACAGCAAATCTTGTCTGTGCAGAAGACAGCGTACTCAGGGTCCAAGGCTGCGGAACAAAGAACCACCACAAACCTCACCACCTCCCCCTTCAAATACAAGGCACACTTCTTCAGCCATACTTTGTCTAACACAAATACATAGCAGCATGTGTATTTAAAACAGAACTCTACCAAAACAAAACATTGCATTGTACACACAATTCTCCCCCTGAGGAAAGGACTAGAGAAAGAACAAATTACACATGACAGATGTTAGTAACGTCACTTAATGCGCTGCTGAAAGACACTCAGGCATTATGGCAATGAGGGCATTATAAGAACCTACATAGAATAATGTTCCTGTATGAGACATTAGTATTTCACCAACTAACAGAATTCCATTCCATATAATAAAAATAATGGGCCATTTTCAGTTTTGTATAAGTGGGAATAGTTGGGATGAATTTAGCCCAGTGCCTCAAAGAAACTTGGTCTCAAATGCACCGCTGCTACCTAAATTCCAGATGATGTGACATGGCAGGAATGCCAATACACTTAACCATATTTAAACAGAAAGCGAGGACACATTTAACTTAGGAAGACAGGTTTTTAGTTTTCATAAATAAAATACGATGAAGGTGATTTACTTAGCAATTTAACTTTTCAATCCAGATCTTCTATAGCAGATTTTTTTTCCAAGATGTTTTAGTTTTCTTACACACACGGTTGATCTTTTCAATGCAATTACAATCTAAAATGTGATGTAACTAGCATGTTTTCTTTAAAAATCTTTTCTTTCACACCATCCTTGTTCATAAGTCATTGGATTTAATTTCCAGTGTGCTACAGCTGTGCCCTCTTTGCAGACAAATTCACTAATATTATTAAGGCTTATCATCACCCTTACTTAAAACAAAATTTCAAACAGTCAAACACAGTTCATTGGCTTGGAAATTAACAATAACTGAAGTTAATTTACCTTTAATCTTCTTGTACTTTTTATACCATCTCCCAAACTCCTGGCACTTGGTTGCTGATACATTGGCATAATATGTGCTATTTACAATGGATGAAATCATACTCTGGAAGTAGAGGAAGACAGAACGTGTGTTAAAAAAAAACAATGAAAACTCTTTTCCAGAGATCGTCAATGACATGCAAGCTCACATTGATCACCCAAAACCTGCCTTCAAAACCTAACGCAGTCACTGTGAAGGACTCAAAATTGGCTGTATTTCCCACTCTACATCCCCAGACATGATTACTCTGGTTCACTAATAATGCAAAAAAGATGCTGTGTGAACCAAGACTCCTGTCTCCAGCTCCCACTGACTTGTCACTTTAATTTATGCTTGTGATGTCACAGAATCTTCATACTAAAAGCTTAACTACAGGCAGTGACATGTTGGGGGACACACACATTAGACACAAGAGGCAAGAACAACTGTGATTTAGGAACCAGATTCTAAAGGTAAGATTAGCATGCATAATCCAAATAATGCTTTTCAGATGCTTCTGATCTGCTTTCAACTGCAACAAGACCACACAGCCAAGAACTGGAGAACATCCGTGCTACTCGCTGCAGAACAACAGTTAGGCAAATAAGTTAAATTAATATAATTTATAGAAACGTGCGATTAGCTCTTGTGTGAAAAATCACTCAACAGAAAAATTAACAATGCTATTCAGAGCGGATTAAACTAAATACAGTACAGTTTCAAAGTAAGCAAGGGCCACAACAAAATGTGGTACAGCTGAAAGATTCAAAGTGCTTCACCACCACCATCCCCACCCTTTGCAGGTATCCTCTGGCAACTACTGCTACAAAACAACTGGAAGAAGATAGTAGGTAGAGTTGCTCTGCAGCACCTGACACACACAAAAATATTTTACATTTGGGGCACTTTTGGCCATATGGTGGAAAATAGTTTTGTTACTGGTAGTTATCTCCATTTTATAGAGTAAATAATTGTTAATAACTTTTAAACTCTTCCAGAGCTGAATCATTGCATTATGTGTATATCTACATTTATACAAAGATACATAGATCTATACACACACACATTCACTCTAAAGCCCAAGAAGTTTAACAAGATGTGTGAGTCAAAGCACCCTTTCTTGAAATCACATTTTTTATGCCTGCAGTCATGCCAGGGTTCAGAGAAATGTTGGCACCTGTTATGACACTTCTGCACAGTAGAAGAGATTAAAGAGATAGCATGACCTCAAAGCAATGGCAAGCTATTTACCACGGGTTCCAACTCTGGCACACAGGCCTCTCTAGGCTCATGTGTGAAATGGGGTCTTATCCATAGCTGTTAAACTACTAGCTAGGCTCACTTCTGGCTTACTCGTTTTTACAGTGCTTTAAAAAAAAAAACCCCACCCTATTCAAGATCAATTATGCATTTATTCAGCCCACTCTGCTACTTTGTTGCAACCCCAAAAGACGCCAGTTTTCCTGACCCCTTGAGTTTTGGGGGTTTTAGGAGGCTGAGAAGAATTTACTTTAGAGAGTCTTAAGGAAGATTGGACTGTACAGATTAGTTTCAGTCTTTGAGGCATGAATTCACTTTAAACACAGAGGTTCCTCTTCCCTTTCACTTTCACATTTCCACTTGAATGCCACTAAGCTGCAGTACGGGAGACGCAAAGTAGCTGTGAAATAAGGGCTGGGTTGTTGTTGTTGTTTTTTAAATGGATGTTCTAATCGCCAAAACTCAGCTTCAATTTTCTAATTAAAATTCATATTTTGAGACCTACACCTAGTACCATAACAGTCAGCAGCACCACCTTCCCTATGAACCCTTGCTTGTTCTAAAGTGTGCCCTGAGGAAACAGGAGCATTTTGAAGGCATAACAGAGTGGAAACTTCAAGCTGGAAGAAGAAGCTCTAAAGAGCTTACTTTTCCAGTAGGTTTTTATTTAAGCTCTCACAGCTCTACAATAAATGAACATTACTAAGATTGTAGCTGTGATGGTTCTGAGGAAGAAAAATGGGGCAGAAATTCCTCTTCCTACCCCCAGTGGGTGGACAGCTTCATCACATCCACATGGAAAGAAAGCTGGCATCTGCCTGATAACGTATACTAGAACTAGCAAAGGATTCATATAAACAAGATATAATGTCATAAGTTAAAATAAAAGACGAAAGCTATGGGACAAAAACAAAAACCACCAACCCACAACAAGGAAATGAAGTTTATACAAGTATGCAAAATACATGAACAATACTGGAATGATTAGCACAATACACTTGGAAGATAGAGGTCTCAATGCAAAGATGGAAGTGAAGAAATAATTGGATTTCCTTTCCCGCCAGCCCCACCCCCAATGCCCTGCCTTGGTTAACTGGGATTTATTTGTTTGAACAGCAGCCTTATGCTAAGGGCGGCTAAGCCGCGAATACATAATACACCTAGCAGGAAAAACAGAACAACCGTAAATCAAAGCGAATGATTACATTGCCCATTAGTGGCAATCAGAATCTCCATCTGGGCTGCAAGAAGAGCTCATGTACCAAGAACAAGAGCTGGAGCATAGTCACTGAGAAAAAAGAAAGCTCCCTGTGCTGCCCCTTTCCACTTCTGTACAGAGGGAAACTCGATGCACTGTGAACACATTAATAAACAGCAGCATTTACTCCGCAGTTTGACTCCTAGGAGACAGCTCTGTAATTTGCTGCTGTCAATAATATATTAACCACAAGGGGGTTGTAATGACATTTCACATTTGGTGCGGTATTTTTTCAAAACTGATTTGGGAAAAGGAATTGTATTCAAGGCAAATTCAGATAATGGCAATAGACAGCTCCTATGCAACCTTCCACTGTATCTTTTACATTTTGGGAGCCACGACAACAGAGGTTACAACTTTTTGTGGCTCTAATGCAAGAAGTGCATTCATTATGGTCCAGCCTCCGGAGTCCATTGCCATTCAGCAAATCACTTAAGCACATGCTTAAAGGTAAGTGTGTGCAAATGCTTTGCTGAATTAGAACCCTCAAAAGCATGTCTCTGTACCTTTATTCTCTGCATAATCACCAGGATAGAGATTCTTTCTCCTACAGTTCTGCCATCAGTAATCTTGCTAATGTATGTCAGGATGAGTTTATAGAGAGGTAAGCCAACTGCCACAGTCCCATATGGAAACTGATGGAAAACATCCCTAAACAGTGAATGAATGCCACCACGTAACATGGCTCACCATTCAGTTATACTGGATAGTGTTACAGGTCAGGTGCCCTGGGACATACAGGATTGAAGACCAGTCTTCCTCCACCTGAGAGCTGCAGGTATCTCATCTAATTTCACTTCTTGAAATGTAATTTTTATACGCTAGTTTTGCTACCATCTGCCAAAGAGCCCCAACCTACATGCTGGAACCCTTGCTAGCCAATCAGATTTCTCCTTTTGCAGTTCCCATTCTATATATAAAGGCAAACACTTAAAGTGTTGTTCTACTCTGTAAAAGTAACACCTTCTTATTCAACACATCCACTCCTGTATTCAGAGTCACTTCAGTAAGTAATGTGGGTTAAACTGCTTTTCTACTCCTGTTAGCTCTGCAGCTATGGGAAGCTGAGAGATTCTATTCTGGACAGTACCAGCTGCAGGACCTAACTCTAACCTGTATCTTTTTGGGGTGGCATAGATCTAATGGAGGACCAAATTTGGCCTACAGAATTTCTATCACTGGTTATGACATATCATCATCAAAGATCCTTGATTTATGAATCTGGGGTTGAGTTTGTGGTGTTCATAGCTAAAAACAATATTTTTTTAATTTATAAGTTAGCAAATTTGATATGGACACTCTAAAGACCTAATAACCACAAGATCATTTTTACTATCTACTTTAATCAGAGATTTCCTGTTCCTGATATAAAATGCAGATGGTGTGGGTTACATCATTCTATTATACAACAGAACACCTTCATGTTGGAATGTGTATACTCAAGTTTGTTTTGCTTGGCTGTCTCTAACCTGTAAGTTGAAGGTAGGCAGCAACAGGAGGACAACATTCAGATTGGTGTTAGCAAATGAACGGAGTTTTTTGGAGGGAAGGGGGAAGAGGTTAACTATAAAAGATATTTTCCATGTTTTTAAAAGACAATATAAAGCAATATATTAACAGCTCTACCTCTGTTCTAGTGAAGTTTTTTGTCAGGTAATATGAATCACTGGATGTTGGCTTTTTTGGTGGTGCAGAGGGGTGCTCAGCTAACCTTGCCAACTTTATACAAGTCTTTATGTAAGAAATTTGAACAAGAGCTCAGTTTCATTAGGGGCCTGAACTATGGTTGTGTCTTCACTACAAGTGACAAAATTGTACTGAATAAAGTTTCTCTCTCTCTCTATTTACACACACACACAAACACACACACACACACACACACTTACTTTTGTTATATTTTTCCTAGAAACTGGCACCACACTGATGAGAGTTATATACATTTCTTTGTAATCAGAGATTGGTGAAAACTGTGCGTGTCCCTAAAGTATGCTGCAGGCTTCTGCCAGTAAGGATAAGCACCTGTTGCAATTAGGGTGACCAGATGTCCCGATTTTATAGGGACAGTCCCGATTTTTTGGGGTCTTTTTCTTATATAGCCTCCTATTACCCTCCACCCCCGTCCCAATTTTTCACACTTGCTGTCTGGTCACCCTAGTTGCAATACACGGTATTGAGTGGTAGTACAAAATTTGGAGATGATATATATGGAGAATTTGGGGTCCCTTTGAAGTTGAGGTCACAAACCAGCTGATCTCCTTCCAACAACACATTACAAATAATGCACCACAATTAAAGAGTAAAGGGATATTTTCCCAAGTGGATTGGAATTTCTCCTTTTTAATTAAAACAAAAAAGGATTAAACCTTTCTGGAATTTTCTCTTGCAAACACCTTGCTAAACAGTTACTGGCTTTGGATTTTATAAAGCAGATTCCTCTAGTACAGGCTGAAGCACTGACCTGGGAGAGAGGGCATTCTTTGGCTAATGTGCTCTGATTCATCTCTTTAAGCAGTTCCTTTAAGGCATTGCGGACTGTGGCATGGTTCCACTGCTCTGCTGGCAAGTCTTCCAACTTTGAACAACTGTAAAAACAGAAAGCAGAAAAATCCGATGGAAACGTCACCAGCAAGCAAACCTGCTCTCTTCGTGCAACCATAAATCTTTGTGAAGACATCCCCACTTTACAGTCCTGTGCTCAGACCTTTCTTTAAAGTGCATCCTTTTTTTTACATCCCCATTCCCCCCCAACAAGACATGTGCTGCAACTAAGAGAATTACAGCACATGCCAGAAATCCTAGCTAAGCCTCCATAAGTGATGTAACGTGTGCCTAGCCATTTCCTTTGGGGCCTGAAGGAGTGCAAAGTGCTCTGCTTAATGCAGGCCACACAAATGACTGGGAAAGGCAGCCTCTTAGGCACAAATAGATGCTCCTGCTGGAATAGAAAAAAAAATTACACAACACGGTTAAGTAGTGAGAGACGCCCCCATTCTGGAGGGCCAAGGCTTTGGTCTAAAACAGAATTCTGTTCTACATTGGTATATATCCTGCCCTCACCACCATAGTATCTGAGTACCTTCCAGCAATGCATTACCCAATGTGACTAAGGTCTGTCATGGATGGTCACTCTCATTCTCTCCGCTTGTGGGGAACTGCGTGTGTTTTTGTCGCGTTCTGTTTCGGGAAGGTTTCGTTTCAGGTGCATTTGATTGTTGTAAGGTTGTTTGATTTTTTTTTTAAGTACACACGCTCTATGTTTGTATTAGAGTAGGCAAGGTCAAAGAAGTGTGCCTTGCAATCAGGGAGGAAGGCGGGGAGGTTTGTGACAATTCTTTGTTCCTGGGGGACTTTGTTTCAGTCTCAGACTGATCCATGATACCGTTCGGACTCCTGCACAGATCAGCTTTACTCTTATGCTAGAAAGTGCCTTTGTGCCTGCGGAGGGGAGCTGTTGACCAGAGTCTTCATCTCAGAATTTGAGGCTCTTTCAGATATGCTGGGCCCAGGCCATTGATCACCCTGGTGATAAGGGCCAAGACCTTACAATTGACTTAATAATCTTTGGGAGGCCAGTGCAGAGAGCAGAGGGTGGGTATGATGCTCTCACAGTAGCCCGTGTTGCTGAGGAGATGCACTGCAGCATTCTGTACTAGCTGGAGTTTCCCAAAGGCTGATGGCTTCCTGCCCAGGTATATCACATTACTGTAGTCCAGCCAAGAGGTGACAAAGGTGTGTGAGTAATTAAGGCCAGGTCTTTATCCACCAGGAGGGAAGAGAGGCAACTGGAGATGACCGAGTGTTATTCATAAAAGCTGCTATGTGAGAGGTTAGTATTGGCAAAGAATCCAAGAGTGCTCCTAAACTACAGACTGAACTGACCAATTGTGGGCACATGACTTCAATCAAGGAGACTTAGTTGGAGACACTTTCCTCTGCCTATCAGCACACCTTCTGCCTTGCTCAGGTTCAGTTTCAGCCTGCTATTCTTCATCCATGAGCTGATCTCCTCCAAGCATTGGGGCATCCTGGTAGTCGTTGTGTGGTCGTATGTGGCGAAGGACAGATAGAGCTGTGTGTCATCTGCATACAGTTGGTACCTGAATCCATGCTTGTGACATTATTCACAATGCTGTCTGACCATTTCACCTAGCTGCTGCATTTAGATGTTGAAAAGGACTGGAGAGAGAACTGATCTTTGTGGGACTCCACAGATGAAGGGTTTAGTGGGAGAGGTGCAGTTTCCCATCACTACTCATTGGGTGTGTTCCTCCAGAAAATATTTTAACACGTTACCCAGGACTCCTCCCACCTCTCTCAGGCAAGACAGCAGTATTTTATGGTCAACCGTGTCAAATTTTGCAGAGAGGTCAAGGAGGAGGAGAATGGATGTTTGCCCCATTAAGAGCAGTGCCATCAGTGGCACTAAAGCTGTTTCCATACCATGTCCTGGCCTGAATCCAGATTATGCCTGGTCTAGTATATTAGCTTCAATTAGAAGAGTTTGGAGTTGGCCTGTGGCTAGCTTCTCTGTGAGTTTGCTAGGTAACAAAAGATTTTATACTGAGCAATAGTTGGCCAGAACTGAGCTATTAAGAGGGCAGATTTCTTCAGTGTCAGTCTCATTACTGCATGTTTGAATCAGGAAGAGAAAGTTCCTTCCCTGAATTAACTTTTGGCTATTTCAGTGGTTAAGTGAACCAGTTGCTCATGGACTTTTTTTCCTCAGCCAAGAAGGGCATAGGTCAGATTCATAGTTCTGGGGTGGATATTCATTTAGGGTGTTTAGTTATTCTTAAGGGGAGAAAAATATTGCCATTGATTAAGTAAGCAAGGTGGAAAGTATGCAGTGCCATAAGTTTCAAAGTACTCGGCAGCCCCGGTGTAATGCATAGAGTCAACCCAACCATGCAGTGCCAATTTCATACATGCACACAAAGTGCAGCAGGACCCTCTGTTGTTTTGCAGGAGGTTTTTGCAATGGGATTTAACTGATGGTGCTCGGATACGACAGCCATGAGACTCCTAATTATGATAAAGTTAGAATGAACCTTTTCATATGGGCAAGTTATTTCATAATAATCCACTATTTCTTACTCCTTCTTCTAAAGCATCCTGATCACTGGACTATGGCAGATGGGCCAACTGTCTGATCTAGTGAGGTACATCCGAGGGTTAAGCAGAGTTTCTTAAGAACTGGGTGGGCGCTTTGCTTAGGCCATCCGTAGAATTCTCCACCCTCTTCAGTAAACAGCCCAGCAGTCTCCATACTCTTTAAATTGCCAGGAGGGGGAAAGAGAAAAAAATATATAAAATAAAAAGAGTGTGCAGAATTGTTAGACAGCAGCTACCACTCTGTCCATCAGATGCTCTAGAGTAGGAAATAGTTTAAATTACCAGATGGAGCAGTAGAGACAGGCTCTCCCCACCCTGCTAGGATTGGCCACTGGAGACAAAAGAGAAGGCAACAAGCTCTCTGGGCCATTCTGTCTGAGCCACAGTTAGCAGAAAGTCTAGACCCTCATAACCCGAATCCTGGAAACAGATGAGGTGTTTATTTTTCATATACAATGTGCTAAGCATTTAATCAGGCCTAGAGGACCCATTAAATTAAGAGTTGTGGAAAGTTTCCCTTTAAAGGCTTCATATCCCTCATGATTGATGGAGTCCCCGCACCCACCTACCCACCCGCCCCACTCCTGCCCCCACCACACCATCGTGGCTTTACTGCTTCAGAAAATAAAATGTAAAAACAGTTGGAAGGTTCACCGAGAAAGCTGCATCGTGAAGCACCCTTCCCTTCATTTTCCTTTTCATTTCATCAAAAGCCCAGAAATTAATGAAGACAGGATGTGCTAATCTCTGTAGTAATGCTGTGATCAACGGAGCAGCTCAGAGAATAGAGGAGGACAGATGTTCAGAAACACCCACCTTTGTAATTGGATTTTCAATGTCACAACATGATAGACATCTTGTAGCATGTCGGCTACTGTCGCATCTGGTGCATCGGTCACATAACTGAGGGGCAGAGGGTTCCACCTCCCAAGTTTGATTATTCCTGGAAAGAAAAATATAATACACATCTATCAGCTGTTTATGAAACCTTTTGATTATTTGGTTGGTCAGGGTGTTCAGAACCCGCCCTGAGATTTATTGCAATTCTGAACACAAAGCTATTTCTTTTTGACAATTGAGCCTAACTAAGTGGAGGGGAAGGAATATATTTTGAATTGTAAACAGAGAGCTGTTTACATCTTCGTGTTTCTTGAATTATGATAGAGAAGCAAAGGATGCGTCCCCACACACAGCATCACCTTTCCTCATCCCACTAAAGCCTGCACTTTCTAAGTTAAGACAAGCTTTAAATACCCTGTGCTCCTGATTTCAAAGCCTGCACAACCCTTAAGTCAATAAAAGATTTGGTTTTGAATTGAACAAGAAAATTCCTGTGTGTGGGCTCAGCACACAGTTCCATCCTGACTGTGGTGTGATTCCCAGTACAAATAGCATTTGAAATCGATGAAGTAGTTAGAGTTCACTCCCAGATCTGCGTTTCACCAGGCAGATGGTTGCTTTCTTTGGCAAAAAGTAACAGTGCTGTACTTGACCACAGATTGAAAATAGCACAGCTGTCTTCCAGGTCCTGTTTATACCTCTGCTCCTTCAGTAACAGCAGCAACACACTTTCTAGATTGGCTTGTTGCAAGAGACTGAGTTCGCATGTGATAGTGTAAACTCTTTAGTGCAGAAGACGTCCCTTCTTTTAAATGTTTATATAGTGCCTAGCACACCCTGGGCACTAACAGAACCCATTACTAATTATTAGAAAGGATGGACTTCCAGGGAAGCACAGAAAACAGAGAGACTTTAGGAATATAATGAGGCACAGTGCTGCCTTGTATGGGTACACAGCACAGTGGGCAGATGTCTGCTGTTCTGCTTCACTCCATCTCCTCAGCTGTGTTACTGGCTTCCTCTTTGTTTAATCTGTTTATCATCTCTGAGGCCAGTGCTTCAAGATACCAAACACCCTTGTTCCCACTTAAATTGACAGTGCTCGGGACCTGGTCTTTGGCCCGTTCACACACATTCAAAGCTCCAGAAGAGATCAACAAGGCAATCTGCGAATATTATCAAAAGCAACACAGAGATGAGTGTTCACAATGCTGTTACCTGGTGACACCACACTATTGCATATCTATCTGCAAGCTCTCATAATAATCGAACACCAGTGCTTCTAAATGGTAAGCAACAGCTCATGGCAACCCGGCCTATCAAGAAAACTCATCAGAAATCTTCTGAGGTGATATCATGATGCTAAAATTAACGCAGTTCCCCACATGCACCATTTTACCAACGCTGATGATAGCCAAATCTAAACTTTGAGTTGCATCTAGACTTATCAAAGCTTCTGTAAAGGTGGTTATGAGATGGCAAATCAATGGCTTTGTGAAAATGTTAGCACAATGGTCTCCCTTACTGCATGAGATACTTGGCACAGTGCTAATACTATAATACTTTCTCTGTTTCTGCATAACACTGGTAGGATACTTTTGGTACAACTACTCTCCCCACTTGTAGCATTTCAATACGTGCATATAGATTTCTTGGGAAATAGATCTTCAAATGGTTCACAGTGTATTCCATTACCATGTACAGTCCCTGAGAGGGAAGCTGGAGTAGACCATTATCTTTGCTTGTTTGAAGTCTCAATATGATACTCTGGTATAGACTCAGTAACATTTCAAGAGTAGGTTATGAAGCTTTTGGTAAGGGTAGAATCTCGTCCAAGACAAAGTTAATAATTGTTGCTTGACATCCAATGCTTGAAAGTGGGGCATACATGGAACAAAAACATTTAAATGATGCACTGTTTCAGTATTAAGATTTAACAATCTGGTGCTGAATATGCTGCAGTATAAATAGTGCCTGGACTCAGATCCAGTGAAGTAACACACAGCACTCACTCATTCACAGGATCATATGTCTCCAGAGCTGGCTCCTCAAGCCATATTCCACTTGCCAAGAAAAGCTGTTTTTCTGAAGGGGATAGTTTACTTAATGTTATCTCTGGTGACAATGAGACGTGCACATAGTACAGCATACATTAGTCGTGAAATGAGCATCAAGGGTCCACTGAGTGAAATACATATTAGAGAAACAGTTTAGCTGCCAACTTCCCTTGCCCCTTCTAATACTATGTAATAATATAATGCAAAGTCAACTGAAAAATCCAGAAATCTATATCAGCTTCGCAGAACACTGGGCTTACTATTTTTAATCACTTCAAGTTTCCATATAACTGAAAAAATAAGCATCATATGTGCCCTATAAGTCACATCTACATTGGTCACATTTTACAAGAGGCTTTATTCTTCATTCAGTTATAGGAACCTCCGTGAGAGAACACCGTCTCCAAGTGTTTGGTGCTGACAGCGCTGGAGAGAGACAAAGAGGCAGTAGAGGTCACTGGAGTTAGCGAGTTGTTGTCCCAACCTGGGAAAGTTCAAAGCAAAACCACAGGCCAAAGCATCATGGGAAATACTATATAAATCGCTTTACAGGAAATGTCTGCTACTACTGGTAGTTAGATAGATTTTTTATCCTTTTCTACAGTTGGAAAGGAAACTGTTTTGGCTGGAATTAGACAAACACAGGTGTTACCATAATGCTTGGGCACGTTAACACCTACTGTGAGTCCTTTACACCTTGTTACAGCACCGCTGATGCACGCTATTTTTTTAGTCGGTGTGATGTGACGGGTGAAATTCAAAAAAAAAATATATTGAGTTAGTCCCTAGGCTAGCCAGAAGCCATGATTTCCATGCTGCGCTTCAGCATGCTCCACAGGGGGTTTCGTTCATGGCACTGTAGCTGCATTTAAGGCACCTGTTGTGCTGCAGATAGGATGTTGGTGCCAGCTTGTTTAAGCATGCCAGTTCTCTTCCCCCAAATAACTTTCCATCAGGATTTGAGCAGTACATACAGTCATAGTTTGGCTAGAGGTTCCCTTCTCATTTGTTACCACTCTCAAGGTGTTTTTAATGCGACATTCATGATAGGTGAACGCCAGGATAGCTAGGCATCATCTTCCTAGATACACACCTTAATGGCCTAATTTCCAATTTTTAAGGTTGTGGTCTTTAATTATGCAACTTCACTTGTACTGTATAGTGTTTTTATCTTGTATTGAGCCCGAAGGGTACGTCTACCCTGCAATTAAACCCTTGCAGCTGGCCTGGGTCAGCTGACTCCAGCTCATGGGCTCAGGCTCCAAGGCTGTAAAATTGCAGTGTAGATGTTTGGGCTCAGGCTGGAGACCAAGCTCTGGGATCCCACAAAAGAGGAGGGTCCCAGAGCCCGGGCTCTAGCCGGAGTCTGAACGTCTACCCTGCAATTTTACAGTCCCACGTGAAGCCTGTCAGTTGACAAGGACCAGCCGAGAGTGTGTTTAATTGCAGCGGAGACACCCTCCAAGACTTGGAGAGAGTGTGAGAATCAGTGAGGCACTTTATAAATGATTACTGAACAAATACTCTATTTTAAACAGGAACAACATTCCTCCTTCCTTAATACTGTTTGAGGAAGAGATGCAGCAGAACTCTCAAGAAATCTGTAGGCAGATCCTTTTACGACTTCACAACCTTTTTCCATTAACTAATTCAATCACTCATTCACAAACCAATGACCCCTTTGGGGCTCTTTTTGTGGAGATTGGCAAACAGTGCACAAACACTAATTGCCAGGAGTTTATTCACTAAGTTACTAGGTCAAGCTGAGGAGATTTTGAGGCCTTGTCTACACAGAGGAACCACCTGTGTTCGGAACAGCCTTCAAAAATTGATCTTGAAATGTGAAACGGCCTGTTTGAGGGGGTAAAAAAAAATATCTTTTAAATGGTTTTGTTTGAAGAACAACTGCTTTTAAGAAGTTATTCTCCCTCCACTCTGTCTGGCTGAGGGCAGGTCTACACTACGGCAGGGATCGATGCTCTGAGATCGATCCACCGGTGATCGATTTAGCAGGTCTAGTAAAGACCCGCCAAATCGGCTGCAGATCACTCTCCAGTTAATCCCCGTACTCTACCCCCGACAAGAAGAGTAAGGTAAGTCGACGGGAGATTTTTTTTTCCATCGACCCCCTGCAGTGTAGACGCCGCAGTAACTCGACCTAAGGTACATCGACTCCAGCTACATTATTCACGTAGCTGGAGTTGCGTAGCGTAGGTCGACTTGCTGTGGTAGTGTAGACATAGCCTCAGATGTGTTAGCTGGAGCATTTTCAAGATTAGCTCCTGAAAACCATTGCCCTCTGTAGACAGGCCCTCTCATAAGCTTGATTTTCAAAAATGTTGCCATCTGTCACTGAACAAGGTTCATTACTGATCAGCATAGCAGACTGAAGAACAGAGGAATGATAAGGATATGCAGCCTCGTTTTAAATTTGCATATCTCCTTCCACTCAGAAAGATCCCAAAATACTTTAAAACTGTATATATCAAGGACCACTGAAAATGCAGCCACTTGTAGAGGAGGAGGTGCCAACCAAGTGACCCTCTGTGGATGGAGTGGAAATCTTGGCTAGACACTTGGTGCTTGACAAGCATGCTTAGAGAAAGAGAATTACAGGAAGTTTAATGTGCTCAGTTTTTAAGGTCTCATCCAAAAGATTCACACCTGCCTTGGATTTTAATGTATTTAACTCACAAGAAAATGAAGGACTGACTCAATGCTATTAGGATTTGAACTTGTGAATGTGTCTAGACGTTTCAAAACTGCATCTTAAATCACTAAGCCACCTTACTAGCTATGGCTTTTCTAGGCCATTTACACAATTAGGGCCAGACCCTGCAACCCTCACTTACATGAATAGTCCTTACTCATGTAAGTACTATCATTGAAATTAATAGAGCTACTCATGCAAGCAAGGATTACTTAGATAAGAGTTGCAGGATCAAACCTTTAAAACTGGAGCACTTCCAAACAGAATGTACAGGCACCATACAACAGAACATCCCTCATGCTATTGTTAATAGCTTCCTTCACATCTATCACATTT